TAATGAGTCTATTCGATTTTTAAGAATATTCAAAACAGGGTATCAAGACCATGTCTTGGATAAAGAAACACCTGTTAAGTGAACATTGAATATTTAAATCGAAAATTATCCCTAATCAAGGTCATCTAACTGATGGACGATTGATGACCACCAGAGATTAGTGTGTAGTATGATTTACAGCACCGTTTCTTGTGCTGTAAGGACGTAATGGTCATAAATCATTTGCACAAGTGCTAGTTTAGAACTGCACTGGATAGACCTATGAGAGTACTTTAAGAGATTCAAAATTGTCATAAGTACATTTCTCATTATAGCTATAGGAATCTGTTTCCTCAACCATGAGTATTGTGAAGTTTTCTTGTTTGAGTACTAGTCTCTTTGATGTTGCCTAACGTCTTCCGTAACTAGGGATCATAAGGGGAACACTCAGGAGATTAGGTCCTCTTAGTAAGAGAAACTTACAGTACAAGACTGGGAATGTCCCCCTATTAACAATAGGGAACATGTCTTTGTTGTTTACAAGGCCGCTCGAAGAGCGAGACTATGAAAATGCATGGCCGTGCTTAAATGGATTTTAGAAATCATCTGCTTATTGACAGTCGAACTCGGAGATTGAGAAACACTTCTAAACGTAATAAGGATGACAAGTAATCTTAGCTATTAGTTCACGAAGAGACATTAAGAGACATAGGAAATGGGCTATACACTGTATGCACACTTGTCCGGAAGGACAAGTGGGAGATTGAAAGGAATGGTGTCCTTCCAACAAGTGTATTATTCTGATAGAGGGTTCAGAATTACTATAGAGCTAATTCTTCAATAAGGTCAAGTGATCGGAATGCCTAAGTAGAGGTTGCTTCCGATCAGTAATATTAAGGTACAATTAATATTACAGCTTAATCTTAACTGAACCTTTTGGGTCGAACCCAATTGAAAAACCGATCGGAGACGACGAATTAATCCGAAGGATTCGATGAGTCATCGGAGTTTTACGAACACAGACGTCGGATATCAAGTTTAGGGTGTCGAAACCGAGCGTCGCAAAATCACAAGAAACAAGTACGAGCATAGCCGTAGCATCACATTGGCCTAGCCATGTGAGTTCTAGGCTAGGCTAGTTCATCGCAAGCCTAGGCGCACCATGTGTGTGCTAGGCGCACCATGCGTGCTAGGCGCACAAGGCAGCACCATCACAGCAGCGTGCTTGCGTGTGTGCGTGCCTTCGCATGGCACAACATCACCGCAGCATGCGTGCTTGCGTGCCTAGGTGCTATCGCAAGCCCTCGCACAGCACTATCGCATGGCTAGGCTTGTGCGTGTGCATGCATTCCATCGCAGCGAACAGCATGCTAGCAGCCTACCTCAGCAGCACCATGCTTTCGCATAGTTGCGTGCTTGTGTGCGTGCCTTCGCATGGCAGCACCAAGAACAGCGAGCTAGGAGCAGCGCCAGGCAGCAAGCAGCAGAAGTGAGGGGCCTCGCCCAGCACAGCGGCATGCGTGGCTCGCTAGCAGCACGCATGTGCTGGCTGGGGCTGATGCGTGCTAGCTGTGCGTACTGACAGTGCATGATGGCCAGCAAGGCTGGCAACCAGCTCACTCCCTTTGCTTGGTGCTGGTTTGTGAGAGGTGGGGACCAATGCTTGGAGCATGCCTTGGGGAGCTAGGCAATGGTCCCCCCCCATGGTCATGGTCCTCACCTAACTAATCCTCTCCTCTTGACACTTGTTGCATAGTGATTGCTTTTGATTAATTATTTAATTTAGAACTAAATAAATTATCACAATTGCACATTATCCCACATTGATCATGTACAAGGGGTTCAAGTCCCCATTCCCTATGAATACCCCTTGAGTGGGATTTTGGGAATACACACTTGAGTGGAACTATATAGGCATCTCCATTGTTGAGAATACCTTAAGTTCGTAAAACTCCAAAGTTTATATTTTGTTCGGGTCCCGACTAACCTTCGGGACTTAGGATGATCGGGTCGGGTTCGAGGGTACGAGCCGTCGGAGACCTTGCGTTTGCGGGGTTCAAGTAAGAGCTCTTTTAGCGAGCGAAGCACGCGTCTGGGGTATAATTCTTTATCCCTCTTTCTCTTAATTATGTATCAATTATGTTTTGCATGCTTTAATTGCTTTAGTTATTGGGGTGGGTCTTGGTGGGTTTCTTTCCACGTAGAGTGGGTCTCTACGAAACCCTACAAACTGATCGTAAGCCAATACCATGGTGATTATGAAGCCACACATCCGGCCATGATCAAGTACTTACAGGCGGAAATAGTGAAAAAATGTGACAAGTGTCAAAGGTTTGGCAAGCTAATCCATCGTCCGGCCACTGATTTGACGGCCATACATAGCCCCCTACCATTTTCCAAGTGGGGCATGGACGTCATGGGTCTGTATACACCTGAAACAAGCGGACGGAGATATATATTGGTAGCGGTCGACTACTTTACCAAATGGGTAGAGGCCGAAGCTGTCAAAGGTATCAAGACCAAGGACGTTATCTCATTCATCTGGAGGAACGTCATTACGCGTTTTAGGATGCCTATGTCTATGGTCTTTGATAATGGTCCTCAGTTCGAGACGCCTGTTCTCAAGTATTGGCTGGGGGATCAAGGAATTTCATACAACTTTGCATCAGTTGGTCGACCCCAAGCAAATGGCTAGGTAGAAGCTTTCAACAAGATTATCTCTGACGGTATCAAGAAAAAGATTGAAAAAGCAGGCGGCTTATGGGCAGACGAACTACCACATGTTCTCTGGGCCATAAGGACGACTGAAAAAGGGGCAACTGGAGAAACCCCATTCCTCTTGACCTATGGGACAGAAGCTGTCCTACCCATTCAGCACTATGAGCCAACTCTTCGTGTCATGTCGTATGACGAAGAGGCCAATTGGGAATCCATGCGCCTAGCATTGGACTCACTCCTAGAGCGAAGGGGCAATGCAGCCTTGCGCTATGAGATCTACTGTCTGAGAATGACAAGAACTTATAACAAGAGAGTACACAGGCGTCCACTGAAATCGGGGGACTGGTACTACTTAAAATGGAAGCAGTAGGTAGGGCTAATGAGTTGGGAAAGCTAACTCCCAACTGGGAAGGACCCTACCGGATCTATGAAGAGGTCAGAGACGGCACCTGCCGTCTAGAAACACCAGACGGCCGACCTCTACCTAGAACATGGAATGTAGACAATTTGAAGAAGTATTACTTCTAAATAATGTAAATTGCACAAGAGTATAAAACTTGCAATTATTTCAAAATTTCATACTGGAAACAGAGAGGCACGCCGCCTGCATACATACAGCCGGCTACTCTCCATTGTGTATCTTACTCCATCAACAGAGGGGCATGCCGCCTGCAAAAATAGTCGGCTACTCTACATAAGGGATGGTCGCCTGAAACTGAAACAAACGACCTCTCCCCTATACTCTGTTCAGTTATAACCAGAAGGATTGGCCACCCTTGTACCAAAACATACGGTCACCTTCCATTAATCAAAGACTAAGGTAACTTAGCACCTACGTTCACCAAGAACTAAGTGAGGCCAAAGGCCGGATGATCAGCCCAGGCGTCAGGCCGACTGATCCCATCTTAAAATTAAACTAATACGACCTGTCCCAACATCATAGTAGGCGTCTGGCGACATCCCTCCAGATGAAATTCGTCGCAGAGAGCAGCTCCCTTTTGGGTGGAACAATGCTCTCTAAATCAAACAAACGGCCTCTAACAACTGTTCCCAAGGACAACCACGTAGCCGTTTACCCTCGAGACAAAGATAAATGTACCACTAACCAAACCAGTGGTAGCTAGTTCACATTTGAGTCAGAAATCGCCTGTCATTACTTGGGATAAATGCAGGCGGTACCCTTTGAGTTAATAGCCAAGCAAAACTTGGCAAATCAAGGGGGTCAGCTGGCCTAAGACGCCTGATTCCTCTACTACTCAAACAAAAGTGGCGGTGATTGACTAACCTCAAGGTTAACCAGTCGCCCTCCCTAGTACGGAACCTACAAGGTATGAGAGGTCCGCCTGTTTTTTGGCAATCAGGGGGTCTCAACCACTATTCCTACTAGATCTAAGTTACCGCCTGCAACTAATACAAGCGTAGCTACCCCGGCCAGGAGTCCCGTTCCCAAAAACAGACGTAGCTACCCCAACCACCCAGGTAGTGCCCCGATAGAAACAAGCCCGGGCCGACTGTCCAGAAGGGCAGGTCCACCACAATTGTAATGATCGAAAAAGATGAGGGTCACTAAGCTAGCCGACTATTTATGAAATAGGCGGCAGCCACAGTTACCCGAGTCCGCTTACCGTCTGCCATTGTGCAGGGGCAACTCTACCTTGAATTTGAGGAACCCGGCTAATTTCAAAACTTAACACCTCAAATTAAAATAAGAACGGACCGCCTGCCCTAGTAGGACTGGTCGGCACCTAGCTACTACCACAACAAAGCGGCCGATTTCCTAAACAATATCCGTTGATTATCAAAAATAGCCAAGTACAAAAGAGAAAATGAGGGCTAGGTGCCAATGAATATATCGAGTCCAAGACGTGTGATATCTTCTGGATCCAAGCTGGACGACCGACTGATCTCGTGGCCGACTGACCGACTTTCGCTCAATCGCCCAGGGGCAGCAGTAACAGTCGACCTCTAAAAAGAGGCGTCCACTTACAGGGCTCCTATACTTGGCAACATTCAAATGGAAAATTTGATGCAAAAAGGAAAAGACGACAAGCAAAACAGTCAGTATAGCATGCAAGCGGCCATCAAAGACCTTCTATACTTGTCAAAAATTGGCGAATAAAAAACAAAATGAAGAAGATTGTTGTCCAAGACGACGAAAACATTCGCCAGATTCATATATATATATAAAAAAAACAGCCGGCCAAAGACCGGCAGAATATTCATAAACCCCGACCCCATGGTCGGGTAAAATGATACAAAAACAAGCGGCACACAGGCCGAAGAAAAGTTGAGATTTACACATCTTAAACATTTGAGGGAGGGACTTCGTCATCAGCGGCCGCCTTTTCAGTTTCGACATTTGGCGCCTGCTCTTCCAGGACATTCTCTTGTCCTGGCACATTAGCAAGAGCCTGTTCTTGATTGGCGTCCGCCTCTTTTTCGTCGTCCTCTTCCTGGTCCTCATCCCTAGAAGTTGAGTCGGCCTCCTCCTCACCCTCCGCCTTCTCCTCCTCCTCATCCTCCGCCTTCTCTTCCTCCTCATCAACCGCCTGCTGCATAACTTTGATATTATATTCACCAGTGTAGGCGGCGAATTTGGATTCCCATTGCTCATAGTCCGAGTCTGGGAAGAGGGCTGCCCAGGTCATCTTCATAATGGCAGCAGAGTCCTCCATCATATCCTGGGCCAGGGCCATTTTCTCGGACTCAGCCTTAACGCTGAGTTGCTGGGTCAGGGCCGCCTCCTGGTTTGCCAGGCGCTCTTTGAGCTTCTTGTTCGATTTGCGTAGTTCTTCGGCCGCATGATTTGCATGCTTCAGCGGCTGCAATTGGGCTTGGAGGTCCTTGACAGCCTTCTCCAACTCCAGGTTCTTCTTCTTGGCCGCCTCTAACTGATTCTTGACCTACAAGGTGGCAAACGCCTGATAATACAAAATGTCAGTGGTCAAAATTTCATTTTGGGCAATTTGGAACATTGCCTTGTCACAATCAGAGGCGGCCATGGCCTTCGCAGCTTTTACCTCCTTGGTCTTTTCATGGATAGGTCTGCGGAGACCATACACTCGGAGCATAGCCTGCAAAGCACAAAAACAGGCGTCAAGAGTGATCTCAAAAACAGGCGGCAACGAATGCCATTAACCTTACAGAAATTGCAAATTTCATCAAGTTTACCTCGGAGAGAAGGGCCAAGATGGACTCTAGATCAAGGGTGCCGACTCCCTTGACAAACTCCCTCTCCTCGAGGGGAATAGCCTTGAGCATAGACTTGGCCATCTGGACCAGGTCCGGCTCCTGAGGGGCGCCTGCAATAAACAAAAATGATTAATACGGTAGAAGGGGGGCAACAGGCCGCCTGATTTGAGGAAACTTAAAGAATGGATCCAAAAGAATCAGATATACCTCTTGGAGGTCGACTGTCCCTAGGGACAGTTGTTGTTTTTTTCCCACTCAGGGGGGTTCGCACCTGCTTTTCAGCAGCATGCAGCCTGGAGGAACCAGGCGTACTCCCGCCCGTCTGCTTACAGGCATTGGGGTCTGGCTACTAGGAGGGAGAAGGTCTGGACGACCCACCCTGCAACAAACAACCAAGTCAAAAAAATAAAATTTAAAAAAAAAAAGAAAAAACCACTAAGGATATCAGAGGCTCACCTTAGACGCCTCCTTTGAAGGCAAGTCAGTAGAAGGCCGCTTCTGGCCAAGAATAGCAGCGCGCAGAAGGGCGGCTGCTTTCTTGGAGGCGGTAATCTTCTCCATGGCTTTATCTACAAAGCAGTGCATCACAGAGTTAGAATAAAATTTTCAAGCAAATCAAGGAATCCAAAGACTCGAATAGTAGTGGGCCAACTACCTCTAGTCGTTCGTTCACTAAGGCCACAGGCGACCTAAAAGTATTCATCATACAACCACTTGAACTTGGGAAGACAGTGGTGAGGAATAAACTCTCGGACCCCTGTAGTGGAGTTGGCCCTGATGTCCACTTTGAAGAGTCCTCGGTCAAGGATCTCCTCTTTAGCTTCGCGAGGAACAGGCGGCATGTCAGAGCCGCCTGCTAAGTAAGTGTATGGTTTCTTAGTGACCCTGACTACGCAGAAAGAAACCCGCTAAGACCCGCCCCCATAATAAATGCAATTAACAAGCAAAACATAATTAAAACATAATTAAGGATGAAAGATTATACCTTTGACTCGTGCTTCGCTCTACTATGAGCACTTACTTGAACCCCGAAAATACGAGGTCTCCAACGGGATCGTACCCTCGAACCCGACCCGAGCGTCCTAAGTCTCGAAGGTTAGTCGAGACTCGGACAAATAAAACTATGAGTTTTACGAATCAAGGTTTACTCAAATCAAGAGTTGCCTTTAAATTCCACTCAAGGTTGTTCTTTCCCAAATACCCAAACTTTAGTATTTATAGGGAAATGAATCCTTGATCTTCATTTCCCAACCAATGTGGGAGAATGAATAATTTTGATAATTAATTTAATTCCAAAATAAATTAATAATCAAATCAATCACAATGCAACAAGTGTCAAGGGGAGAGAGAGAGTTAAGTGAGGACCAAGAGAGGTGGGGGGGACCACTGCCTTACTCCCCAAGGCTTTGCCCAAGCCTTGGTCCCCACCCTCAAAAAACCGGCATAGGGGATGTGCTGGCTGCCAGCTAGCACCAGCCAGCAGCCTTGCATCCCCAGCCAGGCAGTGCGTGCTAGTGTTGGGCGATGCTTGGCGCTAGTGCGTGCTAGTGCTAGGCGCTGGTGCGTGCTAGTGCTAGGCACTGCTAGCACGTTATGCTGGCGTTGGCCCTAGCACTCCCACGCATTGCCTCGCACATACTCGCATGCTACGCACAACCATGCCAGCCAGCCCCTCACGCACGCAAGGCCTAGAATGCGTGCTTCTAGCGAGCCACGCATGTTGGGCTTGGTGCTGGGCGATGGTGCACACGCACACGCACAGAGCGAGGATCGTGCTGCTGCTGCGATGCCCTCCACGCACACGCACACACGCACTCGCCTAGCCATGCGATAGTGATGTGCTTGTGCGAGGGGCCTGCGATGGTGCCTAGCACCCAGGCACGCATGCTGCGGTGCAGTGCCATGCGAAGGCACGCATATGCGCAGCCATGCTGTTGCGATGGTGCGATGGGCTAAGGCACAAGCACACGCACACACGCACAGGCCTAGCCATGCGATGGTGCTGTGCTTGTGCTACGACAGTGCCTAGGCTTGCGCCTAGCCATGCTAGGTGCATGTTAGCTCGAGTTAGCCTAGCGTTCACATGGCTAGGCCACTGTGATACTACGGCTACGCTCGAACTTGTTGCTTGTGATTTTGCGACGCTCGGTCTCGACGCCCTAGGCTCGATATCCGACGTCTGTATTCGTAAAACTCCGTCGACTCATTAAATCCTTCGGATTAATTCGTCGTCTCAGATCGGTTGTTCGATTGGGTTCGACCCGAAGGGTTCAGTTAAGATTAAGCTGTAATATCAATTGTACCTTAATATGACTGATCGGAAGCGGCCTCCACCTAGACATTCCGATCACTTGATCTTACGGAAAAATTAGCTCTGTAATTATTCTGAACCCTCTATCAGAATAATACACTTGTTGGAAGGAAACAATTCCTTTCAGTAAGGTGGATCCCGGTTCCACCTATTGTATTTTTTGTTCAAGGTTTTGTCAGGGCCGAAGACAATGAGGAAGGTGTTCCTCCAATCCTTCCATTTGTTCTCCTTTCCCCTGGTCATTAAATAGCCCTTGTGGCTAGAAATTTGACACCATCCGGTACCGCTTGTTTTGGGGGTCCGGCTAAGGTAATTCATGTGGGCGAACGCTTCAAAACTTGGTTCCACCCCATACATTTCACAGCCGGCCACATACCCCAATATATTAAACCAGGAGTTTAGGGAAAGCTGCCAAAGCCCAATCTAGTATCCATCCAGGATCCGTTCTACGGCCGGATGTAGAGGGAATCTAAGTACAGCTTTGATGGCCGCCTCATAGCAGCCGAAGCACTCGTCCCGGTAGCTGGACTCTTCAGGCCAGACTACCGTGTCCTCAGGGTCCAGGACCGAGAGCATGTAGCCATACCCCATTACATGGTTGGCCTGGAACGTTCCAATTCTCTCGGCCATGGCCTTCCGCCTGCCCTTTGGAACATGACATAGTAAGGACTGAATAACTCCCTCTGAGAGGTGGACGGTTCTGCCCAGTCGTCACCCTTCTCAGCAGCATGAGACTCTCTCGCTATATGTAGCCGAGAGTGTCTCTCCTCTGAATCAAGAGAATGCCGACTAGAGGAGCTGGATTCAGAGTCACTTGAACTCTCGGACTGTGCAGGCTCCTGTCCAGACATATCAACAAGGATAGGAGTGGCCGCCTGAACCTCCTTAGATTTTCCCAAGATTGAATCACTTAGAGTGCTTGGGGCACCAGGCGACCGGTCCGAGAGTTCACTCATGGGAATATAGAAGGAGGAGTCGTCCGAATTGGTAACTCTGGTCATCCTCTTAGTTATGGCCATGGTGTCCTGCACAGACACAGCGACAGTCGGACTTGGAACACATGGCAAAGATGGGTCCAGAAAGGGGTAGGCGACACTCCTAGTCCTAGACTCAGCCGTCCTCGGTGACCGGCTGATCACTAACTTAGGTCGTGCCGGGTGCTTTTGGGATACCATTTTTAAAAGAAAGTAAAGAAACACAAGTTACAAAAGGAAAACAGACGGTTACCTGAAGTGCAGTCAGTCCGGTAAAAGCAGCCGGTCACTACAAACAGTCGGCTAGTATAAGCAATCGGTTGATTATCAGTCGTCCAGAAGTCTCAGAGCATAAGTTCAAGGGTTCGAGTTCTCTTGCAAAGTTCACAAATGTGAACAAGAGACTTTAGTCAAACGCCCTTATATAGGGCTATCCCAGAATTTGAAGGGTCACATCCAAAATTCAAAAAATAGGCGGGAAAAAACAGACAGCCTATTACAAGCCGACATCTGTCGCAGGCTGTCGCCTGATTACGGGCCGACACCTGTCACAGGTGTCACGTGACGAGCCACGTGACCCCTGTGAGGGGAAAATGTTTAGGGGATTTTTCCCCGCCACGTGGACCAATCAGCACCTGCCACGTGTCAGCCACGTGGACCAATTAGGGACTGCCACGTGTCATACTCCAGGAGGTCCAACATGGACCAATCAAGCCATGCCACGTGGCACATAGACTGCCAACCTGGAAAACGGCCAACAAGGCCCGAATCCCAAGGCAAGCCCAATCAGTCCTAGGTTTTCCATTTAACCTAGTATTGGGCACGTACTTCGAGGCTATATAAACAGATAATTAGCCTCCATTAAAGAGTTTTGAATTAACTCATTCAGAGATTACCACACGTGCATACTAATTGCTAGACCTTACTTAGCATTAATTGCACTCCTTCCAAAGTTGCCCACGCAACTAGCCTGATCACTCCTCTCTTCGGAGAAACCAGATCACCTTTACTTTCCGCACTTTTTACTCCTAAACACGTTCTAACTTGATCGTCGGAGGCGGAGCTCCTACCAACCGGAGTTTCCTATGTTTTGCAGGTACAGGCGCACGGATCTAGTCCCGGAATTGTAACTCTCCCGTAGGACATCAAAAAACCCCGAAACAACAGTCATAATTTTTTAAACCCAACGTTGTACAAAAATCCACGAACACCACAGTTCTTTGTTTGGACTATTTTCCAAACTAAGCTTTATTACCAAAGTATTTTGCAAAGTGGACTCGTGACAAAACTATTTACCAAACTAAGCTTTCAGGGTAAAACGCTGTCTTGGACAACATTTTACACCCTGGTTTTTTTTTAAAAATATTCAACGAGTAAAACGCTGTCTGAGACAGCGTTTAACATGTTGACTTTTTTTTAAAAAAAAAAAATTTGCAATTTTTGATTTTAGAATAGAAAAAAAAATTACACTAAAAACGCTGACTGAGTCAGCGTTTTTAGTTAATTTTTTTTTTTTAAAAAAACTGTTAATTTCATATCTTAAAAATTGTTAATTTTTATTTTTTTTTAATTATAAAATCTGAAATTAAGAATTTAAATAAAAAATAAAAATAAAAATAAAAACTAAAAACTAAAAACGCTGACTCAGTCAGCATTTTTGGTGTAATTTTTTATTTTTTTATTTTAAAATCTGAAATTAACAATTAAAAAAAAAAAAATTAACTAAATACGCTGATTGAGTTTGCGTTTTTTGTGTAATTTTTTTTCTTTTTTCTAAATCTGAAATTAACAATTACGAAATTTTTTTGTAAAAAAAAAAAGTCAACATGTCTCCGACAGCGTTTTACTCGTTGAATATTTTTTTAAACAAACCAGGGTATAAAACGTTGTTCGAGACAGTGTTTTACCCTGAAAGATTAGTTTGATAAATAATTTTTCCACGAGTCCACTTTGCAAAATACTTTGATAATAAAGCTTAGTTTGAAAAAAAAAAATCCTCTTTGTTTAATCCAACAATAATACCATTGAGTACATCCATAAGCTCTGACTAACGATTCCTTGATCACCAATAATTACACCGAACCCTTTACACAATCCCACTTTCACTATCTAATCCAACGGTCACAAAACGCCCGGGAAACCATCATAAACTAACGACTAGTCTTTCCCCACAACCCAAAGCTGTGCCGTTTTAGGTTCAAACTTCTTTCTCCCATTTTTCTTTTTCTTTTAATTTTAATTTAAAAAAAAGTGTTAACTTTAACGTCCATTAAATTATAGGGTTTCTAAAAACTTAAATTACAACTCACGAATCTCTTTCTAACGGCATTAAACGGCAACGTCGGTGATCTTATATTCGTTATATTTCTCTCATTTGCTTTTTTTTTTTCTTTTTTTTTTTAAAAAAAAAATTGTTTTTTTAACGTCTTTCTGAAAGCCCTTCTCTTTCTCTCTCTACATTGAACGGGCAAACCGCTCTCTTTCTCTCTCTAGAATCTGCTGTTGTTGTTTCCAACGGCAACCTAAATTTTCCTTTTTTGCAATGATTCCCGCCAGTTTTTAAGGTTTGTTTTTATTAATTTGATTTTAAATTATACGTTTTTTGTTTTATAATTTTGATGATTTTCTTCTTATTTTCTTGAATTTGATTTTTTGATTGGAATTTAATAAGTTGTGTAATTGATTTTTTTTTTTCGTTTTCTTTGATGAATTTGTGAATTTATTGTTAATTTTTGCTTGGTTTGTTGTATTGATCTGATAATTGAAGGTAAGATCCGTGTTTTGTTTATGCTGATTATGTACAGTTAGTTGAGATTCATAAGAATTTGATTTTAGGGTTTATGATTTTGATTTAGTGACTTATTTTTGGATTTTTGCTGATTTTATGTGTTTTTAATGAGTGTATTGGTTTTTTGGCAATTAGGTTGGTGATTGTGATTAGGATGTGTGATTTAGTGAATTGTATTATTAGAGTTGGAGATGGCAGAAGGTGATTTGAAAGCGGAAGAGTGTTGTTTGGAGAATAAACAATCAGCTGCTGCTTCGAGCTCGTCAGTTTCCGAGGAAGAGGGTAGTGCTAGTGTTAGTCTCAAGTCTTCGGGCATTTGTAGCCCGGTTGCCACTTCGCCTTCTCATAGGTATCGGAAGCTCAACTCTCTCCACTTTCGTGTTTCGTTGACATAAACTTTATGAATTCACTTATGTTTGTGTGGTGCCTTATATGCCTAGAGCAATCTGATTCTTTTCTTTTCTTTTTTTTTTTTAATTCTCAAATATTGTACTGTTATACCCAAGGTATTTTAAATTATGATGCTTTTTGGTAATCTTGTTCGGTGACACAACTTTGAATGAGGCGGAACTTAGTAAATTACAATGTACAATGTTAAGATGTATGCTATCGTGGAGTTTGTGTGGTGCCTTATATGCCTAGAGCAATCTGATTCTTTTCTTTTCTTTTTTTTTTTTTTTAATTCTCAAATATTGTACTGTTATACCCAAGGTATTCGAGTGAAATTGTGATGCTTTTTGGTAATCTTGTTCGGTGACACAACTTTGAATGAGGCGGAACTTAGTAAATTACAATGTACAATGTTAAAATGTATGCTATCGTGGAGTTTGTGTGGTGCCTTATATGCCTAGAGCAATCTGATTCTTTTCTTTTCTTTTTTTTTTTTTTTAATTCTCAAATATTGTACTGTTATACCCAAGGTATTCGAGTGAAATTGTGATGCTTTTTGGTAATCTTGTTCGGTGACACAACTTTGAATGAGGCGGAACTTAGTAAATTACAATGTACAATGTTAAGATGTATGCTATCGTGGAGTGGTGGGATGGATGATGCTGAGCTTTATGCTTACTAGTGTAGAACTTATAAAAGTTCATATTTTGAATATTCATATATTGAGATGAGTATAAAAAGTTTCTACATGACTATAATTTTCCTCCATATAAATTGTAAAGGATGGTTAAAGTGAACTTTGTTAATGGTGCCAAATTTCAAACTGTAGCTATTTTATTGAAACAGAGAGAGTATTCCACAATAATTGTTTTCATGTTTGAAGATTACTAGAGGTCTTCTTGGTAACACTTTTTATAGTGGACAATATAAAGAGAATATTGCTTAAGTGTAGCGTTCTCTTTTATCATTTCACATTTTAATGTCCCAGATTCTGTTAAAGAATTGTCTTCAAATCATACTCTATGAATCAAGGGATTAAATGTCATAGTCTGGTGTGTGTAAGCAGTATGCTTTGTGTATGTTCCCTTTCTAATGCTTCTTAGCATTTTCACACTTGAGGCACTATCTCTATCTACATGTACAAGTGACTTTTGACTGATGCAATTTTTTTTATGTAGTCTGATTTGTCAGCAAATTTTTCTTTGTAGGAGGACTACAGGACCAATTAGGCGAGCAAAGGGTGGTTGGACACCAGAAGAGGTTAGTATTAAAGATAATATTTCTACCGAAACAGGGAATGTGATTTTTTTTTTTTAATTTTTTTTTAAGCTTAAAAATGTGGGTATATACACTTTGACAACTCTTCAATTCCCACCAGCCTTTCTCTGGATTTCTGTATTGTCATTGTGTCTATTTCTTGCACTTTATTTGCTGGCTAATAAAGGAAAGTGCTATATGTAGGACGAAACATTACGAAATGCAGTTGCAACTTTCAAAGGAAAGAGTTGGAAAAAAATAGGTTTGTTTCCTTACATGTTTTACAGTTTGATAATTTACACCATTTTTACATATGATTTCCTCCTTCACTACTTTACTGAAATTGGGCTCTTTCATTGGAAACATAAATGGTATGAGTTCGAATTATAGCAAACCTACATAGTGTTTGGTTGAATCTTTGCAAAACTGATGCTTATGCGGTCCATGCCAAAAAAAAAAAAAAGAAAAAAAGAAAAAACTCAGTTGGCATTGGGTTGCCATATTATAGTGCAAGAAGGTTGGTCTTGCTCATTTCCTGTCATATGATATGAGGAAAAAAAAGCTCAGTGGGAGAGAATCTATTGTCTGCCTCGTGTGATACTAACCACCA